TCGATTCAGAATGGCTTGAAACGTCGAGAAAACATAAAATTAGCGAATCGGGTTTTTTGATGAAAACATAAACTTCTCCTTCGGGAAGTTAATAAATTAAGACGATGTCGACGTCGTGGATTTCAAAGACAAAGAAATGTGTATGGAAAAGCATTTTTGTAAATTTTAATCCAATGTGAAAATTAACGAAAAAATTGCGAATATATATATGCATTCATAATATATAATTATTTTCTATGTATTACTGGCGATAAGAAGAATGTCTGTTAACGGTATATCAAAAATAACTGCATAATTGCATGCAGATAAGGATTATTCGATTTATATGCATTTTTCGTTTTTTGCAAGTGTTTTCTCTACACGTGGTGTAATTTATCATCGATATGCACACTTACATTTGCACACACATCTAAAGCACTTTTTGCAGATAATTATTCATTTCAACAAATCTTAACTTTTTATTTAACATTTATTGTACATTTTGTAATTTAATGATGTTTTGCTTATTGGGCATAGGTCAAATAGGAGAAGGATATAATAGTTATAATAGATTTATTAACTTGTACACTGAAATTAAATTACCTGTCCCAAGTATTCAACAAATTTACTCTTGTATTGTTCAAATTTAAATTGGATATTATGAAAATTTGTATATATCTTTACGTTTCAAAACCTTCTGAACATTTTGGCATACCTTAGAAAAAATTGATGTGTGTGTGTGTGCGGGAACAAATTTTCGTCGACGATTTCGGGAACACCGATCAACCGATTTGAATAATTCAAAAAACATTCGATTCATATTGATAAGGAGATGTGCTGATTGGTTTTTGGCAAAGGCAGCTCCAGCAGTTACGGAGATAAAGAGCAAAGAGTGCAGAAAATAGAAATCGAGTTTTTGAGAGAACGGAGCATCCGATTTGAGTGATCTAAAAAACATTCAATTAGTAATGATTGGGAGAAGTGGTTATTAGTTTTTGGCAAAGGCAGGCCCAGCCATTTCGCAGATACAGAGCTAAATGTGCAAAAAATGACAGTTTTTGAGAGAACTAAGCGTCCAATTTGAATGATTCAAAGAACTTTCTGCTTGTTTTAACAAAATAATTCAGATTTTATTTTTAATTTTGACTAAAGTTCTAATATACTTTAAACAAAGAATTTCAACTTTGCAATTCAGTTTATATAATTCTTATAGATATTAGACAATTTAACAATATTTATAATAATCTATTTGAAAGCATTCAATATTTCTTGAACATTTCGTTACGGTACGGGAAGTTCCAGCAATTTGCCTTAAGGCACGATGCCATACACCCCATTAGTTAAATTCAAATTCGGTATTGGATTAATATTTATTCTTAGATTCTTTTTTAACATTTAACTTATTTTCCATTTTGTTTCGATATTCAAACGACAAGGGTCTTCCTATACCACCTTGAGGCACTCCTGCGTTCATGCCTCCGCAAGTAGATTTGCTATTCAACATAATAGATAATTTTTAATTACATCAATCAAATATTTAGGAAAAAAATAATATAAACATTTAGAGAAATATATTATTAAAATGCCTTTCCTGTATTACAAGGAAGTACAAGGCTTTTCCTGTTAAATTTTTTGATAGAATGTGCAGTCTGCAGACATAAAATATTTGGAATGCAGTTTATTATATGTAGTAATATATTATTAGGTGTTTTGTATTAGCAATTTTATTATATTATATATATTTGATTTAATTACACTACGTGGAGACCACCTGCTTCAAAATAGGTCATTTTACGACAAATTTTTTTTTTTCATTAACAAACAAGGACTTACATTTTTATTAGATTATCAAAAGAGTAAATTCAGTAAAAGTAATTAAAATAAAGCAGATTCATCATGTTTTACACAAAGAATCTGGTTTAAATTTTATCTGAATGATAAAGCATGTTGGTACAAGTGCACTTTGGATATGCATACATATAATTATATATACATTTATATATATATATATATATATATATATATATATATTATAATTTTTTCTATGATGTATTATATTTCCGTTTTATATATCATGACTCAGATATTCTGTTTCTCAGGTTCCTAGAATAAAAACAGATAGGATGAAATTACAAGAAATTTATTATTAATTGCTATTGAGATATTATAATTTATGCATTTGTATGTCTAACACTTGAAATGAAATTTTAGGAAAGGAATATCGATATTAATTCATATTAAGAGAAACTAGTTTTTCTATGACATAGTGCCTTAAGGCAAATTGCTGGAATTTTCCGTACCGTAATGAAATATTCGAGAAATTTTAAATATATTATTCCAAATACTGTAACTTTCATTATTTTTGCTATCTTTTTATATCTGAGCAAATCAAATGTAAATCATAAATAAATCAATTTATCTCCAGAACATTAACAATCGTCATTTCATTTCGAATTCAATTTCAAAAAAATTGAAAGTTGCCTAATTTACACAAAAATTGGAAAAGTGCTCCCGCATAGTAACAGTCTAAACGCATTTGCAAATAATTCTGTGCGACATTTTCACTTATACTGTGCTTAGCTTGGCGGCATTTTCACATTTTTCAATAGTTTTCACAAAATTGAAAAAGTGCTCCAATACATAAACAGTCTAAACGCACTTGTGAAAACATTTGTACCAGAGTGGCGCTTGGACTGTGCTTAGTCTGGTCAATTTTTTTCTGGTCAAAATATTTTATGTAATATTTTTTTATCCTCAAAAGCAATTGTTTTGTCAATACACGCAGAAAGTTTTTTAGATCATTCAAATCGGACGCTTAGTTCACTCAAAAACTGCCATTTTTTGCACATTTAGCTCTGTATCTTCGAAATGACGGGACCTGTCTTTGCCAAAAACTAATCACCTCTTCTCCCAATCATTACAAATTGAATATTTTTTAGATCATTCAAATCGGATGCTCCTTTCTCTCAAAAACTCGATTTGTATTTTCTGCACTCTCCGTAACGGCTGGACCTGCCTTTGCCATAAACTAATCAGCACATCTCCCTATCAATAGGAATCGAATGTTTTTTGAACCATTCAAATCGGTTGATCCGTGCGCCCGAAAACGTGGACGAAAAATTGTATCCATACATACATACACACACATTCATTTTTTCTGAGGAATGTCAAAATGTTCAGAAACCTTCAAAACGTGAAGATATGTAAAAAATTTCAATTTCGATTTTTGGACGATTACAATAACTTACCTTACGGTTACTTACGTTTATATGCATATTTTAAATGTGTACTAATCAATTTTTAACTAATTGTTACAACACATTGTTAAAAATTCATCTTTCTATAACAAAATAAATTTTTCTACGCATAAAAATCCATGTTTTTGCTTTAAAAAAAAAATGCTTTTATTTGTGCACGTTCTTGCACATAACTCTAATCGTACAGGAAACATTATAGTAATCATTCTTTGTATTTTTAGATAAGAAAAGTGCATTTTTACACGTTTTGCGAGCCCAGAAGACAAATCAGGTGTTTTTACCTGAGTTTTACCTGTGGCAAATTTAAAGATTAGATTTAGAGCTTCCTGGTTCCGGTATAGATTAGCAAAAAAAAATCACTTTAAAATGATACTTGGTGTTTCCCAGAATCTCTTCTTTGGCAACCTGATATCAAGCAGTAGTGATATAAGTTTCAGATGTACATATGAAGAATATCATATATACTGTGGTTTCATCAACTTTTTACATCTTCAACTTTCAATTACAAAATTCCTTGAATAGTTCAACAGAATCCATTAATAACAGTCAGGAATGAAATAAACATAGTTTCTTCTGGTATTTATACAATTTTTTTCAAACGTGGTTTTGTCTGTTTAATTAAATTAAACAGAAAAGAGGTGTCGACAAATAAGATTTACTTAAGATAATTACGATTCAAGGAAATAGGTAGCATTTTTTCTTACATAACATAGCGATGGATCAACTTGAAATTGGACATACTTTAAGAAGATTATT